CTGTTCGTGCTGCTCGCACTGCCACGTCAGCGTCCTCCTGCGGTCCCGGGCATGCACCAGATGGCACTGCGTCCTTCCACTGCTCCACAGCGTGTCCCTTTGCCGTCTCCTCCAGCGTCCTCTCTTCCTGCTCTTGCTGACCCAGAGTCTGACTCCCTTCGTGCTGCCAGTCCTACTGTCACGTGTCTCCTGGCTATTGTTGTCACTGACCCTTCCTTTGAGTCGACTGCTGCGTTTGCCCTGGTTGCTGAGCTTGTCGACTTCGCTGCTCACTGTCGTCCTCTGCTAGCCTTGTTGCTGAGTCTGAGTCTGTCTGTCCTCCGTCCGTCGGGGGTGAGTGTGCTCTTAGCACGGACGTCCTTGAGGACAGGCAGGAGGAGTTCCAGTGTTTTGCTGCTGCTTTACCTCATCTCGTGTCCATGCTGCTTGCCCCTGAGGGAGACCCGGATGCACCAGAGATCCCGACCCCGCGCTCTTACGCAGAGGCGATAGAGGGTCCCTACTCCTCTCAGTGGCAGACAGCCATGGACGCAGAGATGGCTTCCTGGAAGTCCAAAGGCACCTACGTTGATGAGGTTCCCCCACCTGGGGCGAACATCGTCAGTGGCATGTGGATTTTCAGGGTGAAGCGGACGCCGGGTTCTCCGCCTGTCTTTAAGGCGCGTTACGTGGCTCGAGGCTTCAGTCAGCGGCAGGGAGTTGACTACTTTCAGACCTTCTCTCCCACCCCGAAGATGACCACTCTTCGGGTGCTGCTGCACATAGCCGCTCAGCGCGACTACGAGCTTCACTCTCTTGACTTCAGCACAACCTTCCTACAGTGCAGCCTGCACGAGGAGATCTGGCTGCGCCGCCCACCTGGCTTCACTGGGTCGTTTCCTCCTGGTACCAAGTGGATCCTCCGGCGGCCAGTCTACGGTCTCCGCCAGGCGCCCCGTGAGTGGCACGACACACTGTGGCCCTTGGGTTTGCTCCTTCCACTGCTGGGGCGGCGGTGGAGGCGGCCGAGGGGGTGGGGGTGGAGGTGGGGGTGGTGGCGGGGGTGGGGGATTCGGGGGCGGAGGTGGAGGTGGAGGCGGCGGTGGCGGTGGGAGTGGAGGCGGCGGCGGCGGCGGCGGCGGCGGTGGGGGTGGCGGCGGCGGTGGTGCTGGTCGGGGTGGCGCTGTGCAGCAGGGAGGCTTTGGTGGTGGCCACCGCCAGCAGCAGCAGCGTTCTCGTGAGACCCTATCGCCCCAGCAGCTTCGTGAGTGGTATGTTGGGCGTCAGAGGTCTGGGGGTGCTGGTCCCTATGCTTACGTTCTGTCACATTTGCATGAATGTGAAGGGTAAGGTGGCGCGGGAAGGAATGTACATACTGTAGATATTGTACATAGCGAGTCGAATGGTACCGAGGAGGGGAGCTGAGGAGACACATGACCTTTCAGAGATGAAGAGGGGTGGCGGGGAGCTGGCAGCTGCCGAGCCTGCGGGGTGGTGGGATGCATGGGCGAGCGAGGGCAGGAACTTACGTAAGCAAAGTGGGCGGCTGTAAGCACAGAGGCAGTCGAGGCAGCGGCAGCAGGAAGCAGTACCGCGGGATGTGATGGATGGGTGAATGTATGCATGCTTGTTTGTTTCATGTGTGCAGGATAGGTTCGGGAAGCCAGCTGGATGCGTCAGTACCAGCTGGAGGTTAAGCAGCAAGGGCGGGGTAGTGTGGGTAGAAGCAGGACGGCTGCAAACCTGTGCCAAGCATCTCATAGCTGCTAGCATAGGCGGGGAGGCAGGAAAGGAGAATGGCGGAGGTAGCGCTGGTAGAATTGGAGGATACCCGAATGTCCTATTCATTGCTTGTATGTTTCCTTTTAACACGAGTGCTATGCTGTAAATCAGAGCAAGCAGTGACCTTAGGGAGATATGACGAGCAATGGAGAGTAGGCATTGGAGGTGTGAGCTGGTGTGTGACGGAGCTTAGAGAAGTAGCAGAGTGTCAAGCAATACCAAGGGGATGAGCAAGAAGAGTGGAAAGGGGGAGTCAGCTGGCAGAGAAGAAGATGAAGGCTAACTGGGGCAGAGAGGGAAGGGAGAAGAGGGGAGATGCAAGGGGGACAGAGCAAGGTTGGAAGGGACATGAAGCCGAGAAGGAGGAAGGTATCCGACAGCTCTCCGTACCTGCAAGCGCAGTGGGGAGACGTGCGGCGGGCCGCACGCCACGCAGCGCTGCTTCGGCCGCGTGACTGACGCCTGGCGTACGCAGTTCCCTGACGCCACTGAGATCCCTCGCTGGGGTGATCTGCTCAAGTCGGGTGTTGCTGTCTTTGATCTTGATTATGATGCTAGTCCTGCTGCCATGTATGTTGTGACTATTAGTGCTGAGGGTGACTGTTACCTGTGTGTTCCACCCAACCCGGGCATTGGGGTTGCTGCTCTAGGCGCTAGTGAGTCTGCTACTCCAGGTGCTAGTGCGTCTGCTGCTCCAGGTGCTGGTGAGTCTGTTCTCTCAGGTACCGAGTCGGCTCAGGTCTTGCACACCTTCACCCTTGACTCGAGTGCTTCCCGCTCCTTCTTTCATGACTGCACCACTCTCTCTCCGCTCAGTCGGCTAGTCGCAGTCTCCCTGGGTGACCCCTCTGGGGGTCCGGTCCTTGCACACTCCTCCACGGTCCTGCCGTGTCCGGCGGTCCCCTCGGGCTCCCTGTCAAGCCTTCAACTCCCCTCGTTCTCCACGAACTTGGTGAGTGGAGCTGACCTTCAGGACGCATGGGTTGACCAGTTCACTCCAGGCAGTCAGAGGGTGACCCACTGTTCGTGTACTCGGACGGGCCGGCACCTGGCCACGTTCGCCCGTCAGCCTGGGTCGAGCATGTACACCCTGACTACCATGCCTCCTCCGGTTGCTGCATCTGGTCAGGTAGCTGCGTCGGGTCAAGTGTTTCCTGCAGCGTTCCGGTCTGGTCCTGAGTCTGCCCCCTGCTCGTGTCGCCTCCTGTCTCACCAGACTCTCCTCTGGCACCACCGCCTTGGTCACCAATCCCTACCTCGTTTCCGAGGCATGGCCTCCCGTGTCCTTGTCACTGGTCTGCCCCGGTCACTCCCTCCCCTTCCTCCGGGGCCTGCCCCTACCTGCGTTCCCTGCGTCGAGGGGCGGCAGCGCACCGCTCCTCACTCCTCCGAGTTCCCTCCGACGGAGGCTCCCCTGCAAACTCTTCACATGGACGTGTGGGGCCCAGCCTGCGTCCGTGGACAGGGTCACGAGCGCTACGTCGTTGACGAAGACTCGCGTTACACCACAGTCTTCCCCTTGCGTCGCAAGGGTGAGGTCACTGAGGTGCTGATTGACTGGATCCGCACGGTCCATCGTCAGCTCAGAGAGAGTTTCGGCTCAGACCTTCCTGTTCTGCGTCTGCACTCCGACAGAGGTGGAAAGTTTTCCTCCAACCTTCTGCGAGCCTTCTGTCGTGCGGAGGGCATCCGCCAGACGTTCACGCTTCCGGCCTCTCCGCAGCAGAATGGAATTGCTGAGCGCCACATTGGCATGGTCATGGACGTCATTCGTACGTCCATGATCCATGCGGCTGCTCTCCATTTTCTGTGGCCGTTCGCGGTTCAGTACGCTGCGCATCAGATCAACCTTCAGCCTCGTGTCTCCTTGCCGGAGACCACACCTACTCTGCGGTGGACGGGGAAGGTTGGCGATGTGTCTGCGTTCCGTGTCTGGGGATCTCGAGCTTTCGTCCGCGACTTGTCTGCGGACAAGCTGTCCTCCCGTGCTGTTCCCTGCGTCTTCCTTGGCTTCCCCCCAGACGCGCATGGCTGGCAGTTTTACCACCCCACCTCGCGCTGTGTTCTGTCCTTTCAGGACGTCACGTTTGACGAGTCGGTTCCTTACTGTCAGAACATATCTATAGCTTATACTGCTGTGTAGGCTGTAGTGGGGTATCCCATAGGGGGTACAACCCAGTTAGGGTTTCATATTTGTACTGCTTTCATTCATAATTCATTCATTCCTGCTTACTCATTTTCACATGGTATAGAGCTAGGTCCCTCCAGGACCGAAATTTTTTTTTGGGCCCACCGAAGCGCGCCCCCGAGGCGCGATCTTTTTTTTAGCGACCCCTCGAGTCGCCCTCTCCCCTGCGGCCTCGCCGCCCACTCTGTCGCGGCCCCGCCCTGCTCCTTACGCGGCCCCGCCGCCTGCTCCTTACGCGGCCCCGCCCCTTACGCGGCCCCGCCCCTTACGCGGCCCCGGCCCTTACGCGGCCCCGCGTCGCCTCCTACGCGGCCCTTACGCGGCCCCGCGCCGGCCTTTTACGCGGCCCTTACGCGGCCCTTACGCGGCCACGCCGTCGGCTCCTTACGCGGCCCCGCGCCGGCCCCTTACGCGGCCCTTACGCGACCCTTACGCGGCCACGCCGCCAGCTCCTACGCGGCCCCGCGCCGGCCCCTTACGCGGCCCGTCCCCGGCCCCCTACGCGGCTCCGCGCCGGCTCCTACGCCGGCTCCTACGCGGCCCCGCGCCGGCTCTCACGCGGCCCCGCAGCTGGCTCCTACTCGGCCCCGTAGCCGGCCCCTTAAGCGGCCCCACCGCCGGCCTCCTACTCGGCCCTGCCCCGGCTCCTATCACGGCCCCGCCCCGGCTCCTTCGCGGCCCTGCCCCGGCTCCTACGCGGCCCTACCGCCGGCCCTGACGCGGCCCCGCCCCTTCTCACTTCTACGCGACCCGAGCCGCCTGTCGCCGAGCAGCCCGGGACCCGAGCCGCCCTGCAGCCGAGCCGCCCGGGAGCCGAGCCGCCCTGCATCCGAGCCGCCCTGCAGCCGAGCCGCCCGGGAGCCGAGCCGCCCTGAACCCGAGCCGCCCTGCCGTCGAGCCGCCCGGGAGCCGATCCGCTGTACACCCGAGCCGCCCGGTCGCCGTTCTGCTTTTCTGTCGAGCTGCGCGACCTGCCCTGCCTGGTGAGCACAGTCCCACTGTCACTGCGTGCTCTCCTCCCTACTGCTTGCACTGCTTCACAGTCGTCGTCATGGCTACCCCTAGTGTCCTAGCTTTTGACGCTGAGGGTCGCGCCATTGATTTTGAGGTCTGGCTAAACGACCTGCAGCTGTTCTTACAGTGCGACAGGGCTGATGACCTTTCTCTCTTTGACCTCACCTCTGGCGCCTCTCCTGCTCCTGCTGCTGATGCTGATCCCGCTGTCCGCTCTAAGTGGGCCACCCGCGATGCTGCTGCACGTCTTGCTGTGCGTCGCCACCTCCCTACCTCTGAGCGTGCGCACTTTAGTCAGTACAAGAGTGCTCAGACCTTGTACGACGCTGTAGTTGCGCGCTACTCCTCCCCTGCCACTGCTGCACTGAGCCGTCTCATGCTTCCCTACCTCTTTCCTGACCTCTCTGCCTTTCCCACTGTCGCTGACCTCATTACGCACCTCCGCACTAGTGACACTCGCTACCGCGCCGCCCTTCCTGCTGAGTTCTGCGCTAGGAACCCCCCTCCCATGTACATCGCTCTCTACTACGTAGTCGCGCGCCTCCCTGACTCCCTTCGCGTCGTCAGGGACCACTTTCTCGCAGTCTGTCCCACCACTCTCACCGTCGACCTCCTCGAGAAGGCCCTCCTTGCAGCGGAGAAGAGCATAGTCGCTGTAGGTGCTTCTCGTGGTGACCCTCGCACCCCCATCTTTGAGGGGTGCTCTCCTTCCCCCTTGCTGCCCTCTGTTGCCTCTGCTGCTGCTGCCGACCTGCTTGGTCTTGAGTCGGTCGGCGCGGCGTCTGCCCCTAGTGGGAGACGTCGCTCCAGCAGGGGCAAGGGAGGCAAGGGCGCGGGTGGAGCTGGGGGGGGCGGTGGCGGTGGCGGCGGTGGCGGCGGAGGGAGTGGGGGTGGCGGCGGGACTAGTGGCGGGGGTGGTGGTGGTGGTGGTGGCAGCAGCGGCGGAGACGGTGGTGGTGGTGCCAGCGGTGGTGGTGGAGGCAGCGGCGGAGGTGGAGGCGGCGGAGGTGGAGGCAGTGGAGGCGGCAGCGGCGGAGGCAGTAGTGGTGGAGGAGGTGGAGCTGGTCGGGGTGGTACCCAGCAGCGTAGCGGCGGTGGTGGTGGCCAGCGCTCGCACCGGCAGTAGCAGCAGCGCTCACGGGACATCCCTTCGCCTCAGCAGCTTCGTGAGTGGTACGCTGGGCGTCAGAGGGGTGGGGGTACTGGTCCCTGCACCTACGTTCTTCGTTCCGGCGACCGCGCGGGTGAGCAGTGTGGGGGTGCCCACGCCACCCAGCGCTGCTTTGGCCGCCTGACGGACGCTTGGCGTCAGCAGTTCCCTGGGGCTAGTGAGATCCCTCGCTGGGATGAGCTTCTCAGGGCTGGTGTAGCGATCTTTGATCTTGATTTTGATGCTATCCTTACTGCTATGTATGTTGTGGATTATAGTGAGGAGAATGAGGGTTACCGGTGTTTCCAGCCCGACCCGGGCATTGGTACTGCTGCGCTAGGTACTTGTGAGGCTGCTGCTCTAGGTGCCAGTGCGTCTGCGCTCTCAGGTACTGGTGAGACTGCGTTCTCAGGTACTGAGTCGTCCTCGTCCTCCCTCACTTTCACACTTGACTCCGGAGCTTCTCGCTCTTTCTTTCGAGATCGCACTACCCTTTCGCCGCTCGCCAGGCCGGTTGCGGTCTCCCTTGCTGACCCCTCTGGGGGTCCTGTCCTGTCTCACTTCTCCACTGTCCTCCCGTGTCCGGCTGCCCCTTCGGGCACCCTGTCGGGTCTGTACCTTCCCTCGTTCTCTACGAACTTGGTGAGTGGAGCGGACCTGCAGGATGGGGGTGTTCACCAGTTCACTCCTGCGCGTCAGCGGGTGACCCACTGCACGGAGGCTCGCACAGGCCGACACCTGGCCACGTTCTCGCGTCGGCCGGGGTCGAGTCTCTACACCCTGACCGTTGAGTCTCCTCCTGTCGCTGCGTCTGGTCAGGTGGCTGCGTCGGGTCAGGTACTTGCTGCTGCGTCCCGGTCAGGTCCTGAGTCTGCCCCCTGTTCTTGTCGCCTTCTGTCTCACGAGACTCTCCTGTGGCACCACCGTCTTGGCCACCCCTCCTTGCCCTGTCTTCGGAGCATGGCTTCCCGTGTCCTTGTCTCTGGTCTTCCCCAGTCTCTCCCTCCTCTCCCCTCCGGGCCAGGACCTTCCTGTGTCCCCTGTGTCGAGGGTCGCCTCCGGGCTACTCCTCACTCCTCCCACTTCCCCCCGACAGAGGCTCCCCTGCAGACGCTTCACATGGATGTGTGGGGCCCTGCCCCCGTCCGTGGGCAGGGTTACGAGCGATACTTCCTGTTGGTGGTTGACGACTACTCGCGTTACACCACAGTCCTCCCCTTGCGCAGCAAGGGTGAGGTCACTGAGGTGCTGATCGACTGGATCCGCGAGGCTCGTCTCCAGCTCAGGAAGAGCTTCGGCTCGGACTTTCCTGTTCTGCGTCTGCACTCTGACAGAGGCGGAGAGTTCTCTTCTCGCCTTCTGCGAGACTACTGTCGTGCACGGGGGATCCGCCAGACCTTCACGCTTCCGGACTCACCACAGCAAAATGGGATTGCTGAGCGCCGCATTGGCATGGTCATGGATGTCGCTCGTACGTCCATGATGCATGCGGCTGCCCCCCATTTTCTGTGGCCGTTTGCGGTGAGGTACGCGGCGCATCAGCTCAACCTTCACCCCCGGGTCTCTCGGCCTGCGATGTCCCCAGTCTTGCTGTGGACAGGGAAGGTTGGCGATGCGTCTGTGTTCCGTGTCTGGGGATCTCGGGCGTTTGTCCGCGACTTGTCTGCGGACAAGCTGTCCCCTCGTGCTGCTCCCTGTGTCTTTCTTGGCTTCCCCACTGACGCCCCAGGGTGGCAGTTTTACCACCCCTCCTCTCGTCGTGTTCTGTCCTCCCAGGACGTCACGTTCGACGAGTCAGTCCCCTTCTACCGTCTCTTCCCCTACCGCACTCCTTCCCTCCCCCCTCCCCTGGACTTCCTTGTGCCGGTTCCCCCCCCAGTAGACCCCCCCCCCCCTCAAGTTCCTGCCCCCTCAGGTGTGTCCCAGGTAGACGCCGTTGCCCCGGTCGAGGTTACTGGTGACTCTGGTCCTGCTGCGGGTGCTGAGCCTGGGGGTGCTGACTCTGGGGGTACTGTGCGTGGGGGTGCTGTGCCTGGGGGTACTACTGCTGGGGGTGCTGGGCCTGAGGGTGCTACTGCGGTGGGTGCGGAGCCTGGGGGTGCTGAGCCGGGGGGTGCTGTGCCTGGAGGTGCTGAATCTGGGGGTGCTGGGTCGGGAGCTGCTGAGCCTGGGGGTGCTGAGCTGGGAGCTGCTGAGCCTGGGGGTGCTGCGTCTGGAGCTGCTGAGCCTGGGGTTTCTCCTGCTGCTGCGTCTCACCGGGAGCCCCTCTCTCCACAGGAGCTGCGCGAGTGGTTCGCTCGCCGCTGGAGGCGTGCTGCTGAGTCTGGAGGTGCTGCTGGAGCTGGAGCTGGAGCTTCTTCGATCGTCGAGGGTGCGGGTGCTGCCGGTCCCGGAGCTGCTGGACCTGCGGGTCCTCCTGGAGCTGGAGCTGCCGGGGGCGTTCGTGCTGAGCCTGCTGCTGTTGGTCCTGCCGCTGGAGGTGTGGGTGGCGCTGGTGCTGTCACTGAGGGTGCTGGTGCTGTCCCTGCTGAGACTGGAGCTGCCGCGCGGCCTCGGCCGTACTTCGTTCCGCTCCTTCAGCAGGTTCTTGGTCTTTCTCCTCCAGTAGAGGGTCCACCGCCTGTCCAGTCGCAGTCCCTACTGGAGCCTTCCTCTCCACTACCTGCTCCCTCTCCTTACACTGGTCCTACTGGAGGTCTTGCTGAGCGTCGTGAGCCTGCGTCTCGCCCCGCGTCGCCTGTTCGTGCTGCTCGCGCTAGTGGTCGCAGTTCGCGTCAGCGTCCTCCTCCTGTCCCTGGCACGCACCGGATGTCTCTGCGTCCGTCCACTGCTCCTCTGCGTGCCCCTTTGCCTTCTCCTCCTGAGTCCTCTCTTCCTGCGCTTGCCGACCCTGAGTCGGACTCTCTTCGCGCTGCGAGTCCTACTGTCACGCGTCTGCTTGCTACTGTCGTCACTGACCCCTCTTTTGAGTCCACTACTGCGTCTGCTCTAGTCGCTGAGCTCGTCGACTTTGCTGCTCGCTGTCGTCTCGACTACGCTGCTAGTCTTGTTGCTGAGTCTGCGTCTGTCTGTCCTCCGTCCGTCGGGGGTGAGTGTGCTCTTGGCACGGACGTCCTAGAGGACAGGCAGGAGGAGTTACAGTGTCTAGCGGCTGCTTCACCTCATCTCGCGTCTGTACTGCTTGCCCCTGAGGGAGACCCGGATGCACTAGACATCCCGACTCCGCGCTCTTACGCGGAGGCGATAGAGGGTCCCTACTCCTCTCAGTGGCAGGCAGCCATGGATGCAGAGATGGCTTCCTGGAAGTCCACAGGCACCTACGTTGACGCGGTTCCCCCTCCTGGGGCGAACATCGTCAGTGGCATGTGGATCTTCAGGGTGAAGCGGCCGCCGGGCTCTCCACCTGTCTTCAAGGCACGGTACGTTGCTCGTGGCTTCAGTCAGCGGCAGGGAGTTGACTACTTTCAGACCTTCTCTCCCACCCCGAAGATGACTACTCTTCGGGTGCTGCTGCACATAGCCGCTCAGCGCGACTACGAGCTTCACTCTCTCGACTTCAGCACTGCGTTCTTGCAGGGTAGCCTGCACGAGGAGATCTGGCTTCGCCGTCCACCTGGCTTCACTGGGACTTTCCCTCCTGGCACCCAGTGGAGCCTCAGACGGCCAGTCTACGGTCTCCGTCAGGCACCGCGTGAGTGGCACGACACACTGAGGACTACGCTTGCGGCTCTTGGGTTTGCTCCTTCTACTGCTGACCCGTCGCTGTTTCTTCGCACCGACACTTCCCTGCCGCCGTTCTACATCCTCGTGTACGTCGACGACTTGGTCTTTGCCACAGCGGACACTGCTGGACTCGCCTACGTGAAGTCCGAGCTGCTGAAGAGACACACGTGCACAGACCTGGGTGAACTGCGCAGCTACCTTGGCTTGCAGATCACTCGGGACAGAGCACGCCGCACCATTACCTTGACTCAGTCACACATGGTGCAGCAGGTCCTTCAGTGCTTCGGCTTCACGTACTCCTCGCCTCAGGCCACTCCTGTGCCTACTCGCCACTCACTCTCAGCTTTGCCTTCGGATGAGTCCGTAGAGTCGAGTGGTCCGTATGCAGAGCTTGTTGGCTGCCTCATGTACCTGATGACCTGCACACGACCTGACCTTGCATACCCTCTGAGCATTCTTGCACGCTATGTTGCTCCTGGGAGACACAGACCGGAGCACATGGCTGCAGCGAAGAGGGTATTGCGCTACCTGTGCAGTACGTCAGGCATGGGGCTAGTGCTTGGAGGGCGGAGTCCAGTGGTCCTTACCGGCCACGCGGACGCTTCTTGGGCTGACGACCAGGCTACGCAGCGGTCGTCACAGGGTTACACCTTCAGCCTTGGTTCCGGCTCTGTCTCGTGGCGGTCTACTCGCTCGTCTTCGGTTCTCGGCTCCAGTTGTGAGGCTTAGATCTACGCCGGAGCCATGGCTGCACAGGAGCTTCGCTGGCTCACCTACCTGCTGACTGACCTTGGAGAGCCGCCTCGTTCTCCTCCAGTGCTGTACGTAGACAACAAGGCTATGCTGGCCTTGTGTCGAGAGCAGCGCTTGGAGCACAGAACGAAGCACATTGCTCTCCGCTACTTCCTTGCTCGTGAGTTGCAGCAGCGTGGTCAGTTGCGACTTGCGTACGTGGCCTCTGAGGCCAACACTGCTGATGTGTTCACCAAGGCACTTGCGCCTTGTGACCATCAGCGCTTCTGCACCCAGCTGGGTCTTGTGCCTGTCTTGCCTCACTTGCTCTCCTCTTGACTTTACTTGTACTGTGACATATATATATACCTGCTCTTGCTTGTCTAGTTTTATATATATGTCTGTACTCTTGCTTGTGAACTGGCCTTTGGCCTTGCTCTTGTGCTCGGACTGTGTGGTGACTTTGTGATCCACCCTGAGCTTTGCTTTGTCTTGCTTGACTGGTCTTGTGACCCCTTGTTCTCCCCCACTTTGCCTATGGGGGTGTGTCAGAACATATCTATAGCTTATACTGATGTGTAGGCTGTAGTGGGGTATCCCATAGGGGGTACAACCCAGTTAGGGTTTCATATTTGTACTGCTTTCATTCATAATTCATTCATTCCTGCTTACTCATTTTCACACTTACTACCGTCTCTTCCCCTACCGCACTGCCCCCCTCCCCCCCTCGCCGCTCTTCCTCGCGCCAGGTCCTCCCCCGGTAGACCCCCTCCCCCCTCAGGGTCCTGCCCCCTCAGGTGTGTCCCAGGTAGACGCAGTCGAGCATGTCGAGGTAGCTGTTGACTCTGGTGCTGCTAGGGGTGCTGAGCCTGCGGGTGCCGGGTCTGAGGGTGCTAAGACTGGGGGTGCTGCGCCTAGGGGTGCTGAGCCTGGGGGTGCTGAGCCTGGGGGTGCTGAGCCTGGAGTTGCTGAGTCTGGGGGTGCGGAGTCTGAGGAAGTTGAGCCTACGCGTGTGGAGCCTGAGGGTGCTGAGCCTGGAGGTCCTTCGGGTGTTTCGTCCCGGCGGGAGTCACTCTCTCCACGACGGTTGCGCGAGTGGTTTGCTCGCCGTCGAAGCCGTGCTGCTGGAGCTGGTGGTGCTACGGGCGCTGGAGGTCCTGCTGCTGCTGGAGCTGCTGGGGGTTATGGAGCCACTGGTCCCGGAGGTGCTCGTACTGGAGGTACTGGAGCTGCTGGCCCTGGTGGTGCTGCTGGAGCTGGAGTTGCTGGAGGTGCTGGAGCTGGCGGCGCTGCTGGAGGCACTGGAGCTGTCCCTGCTGGAGCTGGTGCTGCTGGAGGTGCTGGCGCTGGCAGTGCTGCTGGAGCCGGTGCTCCTGGGGGTGCTGGAGTTGGCGCTGGTGGAGCTGCTGGTGGTGCTGCTGGAGTTGGAGCTGACGCTGTAGGTGCTGGTGCTGTCCCTGCCAGTTCTGGATGTGCTGCGCGGCCGCGGCCGTACTTCGTTCCGCTCCTTGACCAAGTTCTTGGTCTCCCGCCCTCTACTGGTCCTGCTCCTTCCTTAGAGTGTCCACCGCCTGTCCAGTCGCAGTCACAGTTACAGCCCGCCTCCCCACTGCCTGCTCCTTCTCCTTACACTTAGTAGCCCGGAGGTCTTACGGAGCGTCGTGAGCCTGAGTCTCGTCCTGCGTCGCCTGTTCGTACAGCTCGCACTAGTCGTCGTGGTTCACGTCAGCGTCCCCCTCTTGTCCCTGGCACGCACCAGATGGCTCTGCGTCCGTCCACTGCTTCGCAGCGTGTCCCTCTGCTGTCTCCTCCTGCGTCCTCTCTTCCTGCCCTTGCTGACCCGGAGTCTGACTCCCTTCGTGCTGCCAGTCCTACTGTCACGCGTCTCCTGGCCACTGTTGTCACTGACCCTTCCTTTGAGTGCACTGCTGCGTGTACCTAAGTTGCTGAGCTTGTCGACTTTGCTGCTCACTGTCGACTAGACTACGCCGCTAGTCTTGTTGTTGAGTCTGAGTCTGTCTGTCTCCCGTCCGTCGGGGGTGAGTGTGCTCTTAGCACGGACGTCCTTGAGGACAGGCAGGAGGAGTTCCAGTGTTTTGCTGCTGCTTTACCTCATCTCGTGTCCATGCTGCTTGCCCCTGAGGGAGACCCGAATGCACCAGACATCCCGACCCCGCGCTCTTACGCAGAGGCAATAGAGGGTCCCTACTCTTCTCAGTGGCAGACAGCCATGGACGCAGAGATGACTTCCTGGAAATCCACAGGCACCTACGTCGATGACGTTCCCCCACCTGGGGCGAACATTGTTTGTGGCATGTGGATTTTCAGGGTGAAGCGGCCGCCGGGTTCTCCTCCTGTCTTGAAGGCGCGTTACATGGCTAGAGGCTTCAGTCAGCGGCAGGGAGTTGACTACTTTCAGACCTTCTCTCCCACCCCGAAGATGACCACTCTTCGGGTGCTGCTGCACATCGCCGCTCAGCGCGACTACGAGCTTCACTCTCTTGAATTCAGCACAGCCTTCCTACAGGGCAGCCTGCACGAGGAGATCCGGCTGCGCCACCCACCTGGCTTCACTGCGTCGTTTCCTCCTGGTACCCAGTGGAGCCTCCGGCGGCCAGTCTACAGTCTCTGCCAGGCGCCCCGTGAGTGGCACGACACACTGAGGACTACGCTTGCGGCTCTTGGGTTTGCTCCTTCCAATGCTGACCCGTCGCGGTTTCTCCGCACCGACACTACTCTGCCGCCGTTCTACATCCTCGTGTACGTCGACGACTTGGTCTTTGCTACTGCTGACACTGCTGGACTCGCCCACGTGAAGTCGGAGCTGCAGAAGAGACACACGTGCACAGACCTAGGTGAAATGCGCAGCTATCTTGGCTTGCAGATCACCCGGGACAGAGCACGGCGCACCATTACCCTGACTCAGTCACACATGGTGCAGCAGGTCCTTCAGCGCTTCGGCTTCACGTACTCTTCACCTCAGGCCACTCCTCTGTCTACTCACTACTCGCTCTCAGCTCTGCCTTCGGATGAGTCCGTAGAGCCGAGTGGCCCGTACCCAGAGCTTGTGGGCTGCCTCATGTACCTGATGACCTGCACTCGACCTGACCTAGCATACCCTCTTAGCATCCTGGCACGCTATGTTGCTCCTGGGAGACACCGACCAAAGCACACGGATGCAGCTAAGAGGGTGTTGCTCTACTTGTGCAGTACGTCGGGCATGGGGCTCGTGCTTGGAGGTCGGGCTCAAGTTGTCCTCACTGGTCACTCTGACGCTTCTTGGGTTAACGACTTGGCTACGCAACGGTCGTCACAGGGTTACACCTTCAGCCTTGGTTCCGGCTCTGTCTCGTAGCGGTCTACCCGCTGGTCTTCTGTTCTCAGCTCCAGTTGTGAGGCTGAGATCTACGCCCGGGCCATGGCTGCACAAGAGTTACGCTGGCTTACCTACCTGCTGACCGACTTGGGAGAGCCGCCTCGTTTTCCTCCAGTTGTGTGCGTAGACAACAAGGCCATACTGGTCTTGTGTCAGGAGCACAGACTGGAGCACATAACGAAGCACATTGCTCTTCGCTACTTCCTTGCACGTGAGCTGCAGCAGCGTGGTCAGCTGCGCCTTGCTTACGTGGCCTCTCGGGCCAACACTGATGATATCTTTACCAAGGCACTTTAGCCTTGTGATCATTAGCTGTTCTGTACTATGTTAGGTCTTGTGCCTACCTGGCCTCACTTGCTTACCTCTTGACTTTGCTTGTACTGTGATCTATACATACATGCACCTGCATGCTTACCCTTGCTTGGTTGCGATCACTGTCTTGCTTGTTCCCCTTGATTTATAATCTTGCATGTGAACTGGCCTTGTGGCCTTTGAACTTGTGCTCGGAATGTGTGGTGACGTTGTAATCCACCCCGAGCTTGCTTTGCTTTGCTTGACTGGTCTTGTGACCCCTTGTTCTCCCCCACTTTGCCTATGGGGGTGTGTCACACATATATGATATAGCCTATGTAGGCTGTAGTTTGGTAGACATTATGGGGTACAACTTTCCTAGGTTTTCATATTTGTATCCATCCTGTTTCTAGTCATATTCATTCCTCGTACTTTCTTCACACCTACTAGTCTAGACCATTCTGCTTGCATACTTCTGAGATGGTATCGTCGATTATGAACGTTCCTAGCTCTATGGTAATTTACCCCGCCTACCTACCTTCTAGCTTGGTCCTTAACCAGCCAACCCGCTCGAGCCAGTTAGTTGTCAGCAGCAGCGCGCCCTGCTAGACTTGCGCGCCATCCAGCCAGCTCCCTGTGCCCTTGGACAGAAAATGCGCGCGCCCCCACTATCAGCACGCCCCTCTTAGTAGAGCGAGCCCCACCTGTAGGTAGAGCACACACCATCCCTATATTGCATGCCCCGTCCGTTTGCAGAGCGCGAGTAGCAACAGCAACTGCGCAAGCAGCAGCCGCCGCATACGCAGCTGCAGTTGCGCGCAGCAGTTGCCACGCACGCAGCACAGCAGCAGCTGCGCACACTCCTGTAACCACCCACGTAGTAACAGTTGTGCACGCAGCCGCAGCCGCACACACAACTGCTGCAGCTGCCATAGCGTGCACTGCCAACACCGTGACCGCACGCACCCACCACAGCCAACACAGCACGCACTGCAGCATGCACTACAGTCCGCCCCGCCCTTGTAGCCACCAGCTGCTAGCCGCCAGTAGCGCTAGTAGCGCTAGCAGCATCAGCATCGCTACCTATGCCCCCCCCCCACCCCACCCGTGCCTACTCTCTCATGCACGCCTCCTGCCATTGGTTCCTCTAGAAGTGGCTGGCAGCCGTTGTCACTTATCCTCGCGCAGTTTAGGGTTAGTGCCCCGACTGGCTTTCCTAGCTCGCCATGCCTAGCCGACCGTTTCTAGAGTGGTGTTGCTTCGTCTGTCATTCCTAATCTAACGTTCCCAAGCCTTCAGTTCCTAACCTTGCATTCCTAGCTGTCTCTAGCTACAGCCGTCCTTAGCTCTATCCGTTCCTCTGACCATCTAGAAGTGTCCACGGCGTCTACCAGAGTTTTGCGCATCGACGCATAGGGCTGTGCGATAGACTTTAGCACGTGGGTCCGCCAGGCCCAACAGCATCTAAGGAGTCAGCATTAGGATGGTGATATTGTGTTTGCCCATACGTGCAGTACGCTATCTGCACCTCCGTGTCCCAGTCCACTGCCTACTGCGGCCTCGCCCACTGAGGAGTAGCTGGCGGCGCATACCAGGCATCACTTGGCAAACTCCATTTTAGACTCCCACGACGGTGCTACCTGTCACGCACTGACAGGCCGACTCCCACCAA